TTGCATTAGGCTTACAGAAAACAAACATAAAAGAAGCAAAAGATTTAACAAATAGTAACTACAAAATAATAACAACAGAGATATAAGTAAAACATGTAATTGCAAACTGTAGCAAGACAGAAACCAAATATAAAAACCAAACAAAAACAATATATCTATATGATAAACCAAAATAGGAAGACTAGAAAGAGTATACAAAAGAGCTACAAAATTAGCTAGAATGAGAAAAAGCACTAAGACAATTAAAAGATGATAAAACAGAAATAAATTATAGCACAAATAGGCTAAATCAAATGTAAGATGTGATAAAAGAGGTCATAATTAAAGTAGCAAACAAACAAATTCTAAAGAAAAAGATATTTAACACAAAGGTAAACAAAAGACAAGTTTAGAAAAGGACAAAACAAAACAAACATATTATTAAATTTCAACAAATTATTAAGAAAGCAAAAAGTATAAAAAATCAAAATATAGAAAAAGAAGAAGGAATTGAAATAAACAATAAACTAAAGAATATTAGAAAAGAGTTAGAAATCACATTATCAAAACTAAACAAACAATAGTTAGAGGTCTAAATATATGATATTAAAGGTTGGCAAATAATAATTAAGGAGATAATAAGAAAGAAATGAGAACAGATACAAAAAAAAACAAATAAAAAAAAATATAAACAGAAGACATGAAATAATTAAAACTAATCAAGGATAAATAATTTGCAGTCTACTAAACAGACTATACAAGAAGATTATTCTAGAAAGAGTTATAATGCAAGATAAAGTAGAAGTTAACCTAATATCAGAGCTAAACGCAGTTCTAAATAGTTTGGCAGCTTACTACAAAAACCAATTTAGAAAAAAAAAACCAAACAAAAGAAATGTCAAAAAAATAAAAAGAAATATATAAACTAAAGAAGTAGATTGATAAGACCTAGTACAAGAAATTGGATGAAAAAAATAGAAGAAAAGAAATAAAAAAACATACTCAGAGAGCTCAAAGTGAATACAGCTTCAGGAATATCAAATATAAGTTACATATTAATAAAATAAGCAAAGAAGAAATTACAAAAAGTCTTTAGAGCATTTATGAATCTAATCATAAAAAGAGAAGATATATTAAAAAAGTAAAAAATAGCACAAATATATCTAATCCCAAAAGACAAATTGGGAATACTGTCTAAACAACCTTAAACCAATAGCATTAATTAAAATTTTTAGAAAAGCTGTCACAAAAATAGTAACAAAAAGACTAGCCAGAGTGTTTACAAAAAAAGGCATACTCAAGAGTTCAAATTTTACAAGTTATTCAGGCAACTCTACAGAGCAATTTATATATATGCTAAATATAATAATGAAGAAAGTACAAAAAAAGAATAAAAAAGTTTGGATATTATTATAAGACATGAAAAAGGCATTTAATTTAGTCCCATTAGAGAGCCCAGAATGGGCTTTAAAAAAAGTTAAAATATTACAAAAACAAGAGAATATATAAGTAACATTTTTTGTAAATAAAAACTCAAAGTTATTACAGCTTATGGCTTAACAGAAAAGATAATAGCAGAAGATAGAATAGATCAAGAAGAGGTAATCTCATTACTAATTTGGTGTCTCTTCTATAACCTGTTATTGGAAAAAATACAAGAAGATAAATCACAAAGCTATATAGTAAAACAAAAAATAGCAGAAAAAATATATAATAACAATATCACAAGATATAGACAAGCAGCAATTGCATATGCAGATGATACAACATGAATTGCAAACAGCAAAAAGCAAATGTTAAGAATTCTGAGTATTACAAAAAAGTTCTTTAAAGTAAATGATATTGAAATAAATAGATTCAAATCAAAGCTTATAATAATGAATATGAGAATTAAAGAAGAAAAAAAGAAATTACTTTTGATCATAGCAAAATAACAGAAGAACCTAAAAATAAGATTGTAAAATTACTGGGAATCTGGTTAAATAGTAGAATAAAAGAAGTGCTAGCATATAAGAAAGCAAAAAGAATAGTTAGTCAAATAGTTAAAAATTGGAGATACAAAAAAATAACAATGGGCCAGATTGCATATCATATTGGGTGATTTTTGGAATTAGGGCCTTTTTTGATCTACAAATTATAATATAATTTTTAAAAAAAGGTTACTAAAAATGTTAAAAATCAACCTATTTTGAATACTAAAAATTAAAAAATAAATAATGAATATTATATATTCATATCAAAACTCATGAGCTATTTACAAAACTTATAAGTACTAGAAGTAATATTTTGTAATTAATAGAAATTACTCTTTATTAATAAGTTTAAATTTCTTTATATTTGTGATTACAAAAAAAAACTAATATTATAATTCTTATATTTTAGAAGATGTTTTGATGTTTAATTTGTTGTAAAAAATATAAAACCAAACGAGGCTTAGAAAAACATAATAGTATAATACAAAAGTACAACAAACTATGATCAAATCTTGATTTACTACCTTATATAACAACAAATTAATATAAACAAATTTTGATTTATTGGATTTATAAACATTTACTAAAACATCACAAAAGATCTAGCAAGAAAACCTTTTCATTAGCATGTACAGAAAGTCAGTTTTTTATGATTTTTGCTGAACATATTCATTATTATTCATCACAAACTAAAATATATAAATGTATTTTTCAAGAAGCAGATGGATATTAAACAATGTCAAATCTTCTTAACAATAATTTGTAGAGTCAAAGAAATTATGATCATTAACAGCAAACATTTATATTGCTTTGTTACAATTATGAAGAAGAAAATTCATTATTACGAGTATTACAAAAAAAAAATAATTAAGTTAAAAAAAAACTCGAAAACCTAAAGTAAATCATGGTGAATTAGTAATTGAGTGGAAGCAAAAAAAAAAAAAAAGATGCAAACAGATTTAAATATTTAGCAGGAACTATTTCATTTTATTTTTTTATCTGTCAAGCACAATTTTCTTAAATTGTAAATAATATAGAATTTTACTAATAAAATTGGTTAATTCATTTAAATTTTTTTCTAATATAATTTTAAATTTATATTATATGTTTAAGTCTAAATAATATATATGTACATGTATTTTTTTTTTTTACTTTGGCGACAATGCCAGTTGGTTTTTATTAGCTTTAATTTGATATAGTACAAATTTATAGTTACATTTTTAGGATCGATTATTACTAGTACTATATACTATCTAATTTAACACCACTGACTTCACCCAGTTACCCTTATGGCACCTAAGTGCATGTCTACCACATGCCTGCATGCAGTTATCTTGGCAACCACTTGCGGTCATGGCATATATTAAACTGCTACACAGACAAGAATACCTACCAAACTTAATACGGCATCCCAAATGCCAAGGGTACTGTCTTCTGTAAATCGTACCCATATGTCCTACTCATATGTTTTACCTAGTCTTGTTTCTTCTGCCTTTTAATCTAACTATATCTAGTATTACCTTGTTCCCTACATTTCCCATCTTTTCATCACTGTATCACTCCCAAATTGGTCCTACTCAGATATGTCTAATCCTTATGATCTTCCCATCTTTGGTTTGCCTGTTATTGATTCTCCTAAGGTGTTCCGACAATAGTCCAGGATCTACAATAAACCCATATCTCAAGCCAGATTTGCTGCCATCATTGGTCTTTTGACCAATCTATGTCTCAAGCTAAACCTGCTGCTGCCGTTCCTGCAGATGCCCCAGGTCTTAATGTTATACAGTAACTCGATGCTGCATTTAACCTCCAACATGGTGCTTTCTTTTATGATAGAGACTGGGACTTGTTGCACTTACAAACAGGACAATTCTGGTTATATCTAGAGAGTTCTTCCAACTCTAGTGATACATACTACCATGTATTGCAAGCTCCCAGCTTATTCAACAATACCTGCAGAATAATTCTGGTTATGCCCAGGGAGTTACACCAACCCCAGTGATGCCATACTACTTTGCAGATCTTATCTCACATTGGTTGGTTGATCCCTAGTCTTGTTCATTATAGACTTCCATATAGGTATAACCAGAACCCAATTTGGTACTTTTACATTGCACATAAACTGTAAATTATATTTTTTTTTACAAGAGTTAATTACTTACATTTATATTTTAAAAATAAACTAAAGATCTACAAGAACTACAAAACTTACCTTGTTTATTTAGTCAACTTGTTGAATCTTATCATTATATAAAGCAATTAGCTAAATGTGAAACTAAAGAAGGTCAAAGAATACACAATGCATTTACTAAATTTATTAAAATACGAATTCAATTATTTGAACCTTATTTTCCTGAATTAAATAGCCTGAAAAATGAATTACAAAAGTACAAGGTTTGTGAAAAACATTATAATCAGATCTTTGCAAAAGATATCTATTTAGACTATTTAAGAGATAAAACATTTGATTATTCTTGAAAAAGAAGTTGTAATTTATTAACATTAAATAATAGCTCGATTTTAAGTGATACTCCAAAAGAATTTTCAACCATTGATATCAGAATTCAAATCACAATAAATAATGATCTTTTAACACAAATAGATACTTTGAAAACTTTTTTAGCTAATCTTGTAACTGATCATTCTAATCAATTACAAATTATTCAAGCTAAAAACAATAGAATTTCTAAATTAGAAAATGAATGCAAATTTCATAAAAAACAAATTACTGAACTTAATACTAATTAAAGCTTTTAAACTTATATCAAAATCAAGTTAAAATATTAACAAATGAAAAAAATATATTAGAAAATGAAAATATATACTTAAAAGAACAATAGAATGAATGATATAATACTCAACAAAAATGTGTAATAGAAATTGTTAAAATTGCTTTATTGGAATGAAAATTTTTATATGATGATATTATTTATTTAATTAATGATTAAACCTGGTTTTTGTTAGAGAACTTATTAGCCTTTGACCATTCTAATTGGCTTCAATATCATAATTCTGTAATAGTAAAGTTTATCAAAACACTTACAGACAATGATGATGAACAGCTATGTTAGAATAAAAATTTCAAGCATGTAACTGCTATAGATGCAATTTACAAATTATGACATAGCAAATATGTTTCTGAAATAAATCTTGCTGCATCTGCAATTAAGTATTCTATTGCTCGATTAAAACTTATAATAGATATTGATAATCATATTACTGGTGTAGGAGGCTATACAAAATTTATAAATTAGATTGAAAGTTTAGTGATTGAACCTAAACCTTTACCTGATGGATTTTTAATTTTAGCTTTTGATAATGAACAAAAAGGCCAAAAAAATTATTTAGATCAGGATCACAATACAGTTGTATATCATACCGTAACTAGTTTTGTAGCTCTTAATTTTGATACAAATAATAACAGCCAATTAGAAATTGATCCGTGAAAATGCACTTCGCTTAGTGAAAATGATATTAAGCAATTATTTTATTTAAATAATAATATGAAAAACAAGCTTGAAGAAGAACTTAAATATTTTATTAACAAAATAATAAATAACTTACTTGCAGAAAAATCTCAAGAAATAAATAAAATTGATTAGCTTATCAACAAACAAAACAATTTAACTAATAAAATGAAAAAATGTTTGCAATGTTTAATGCCAAATATTGATAATAAAAAGCGAAATTGTCCTAATTGCAATGCTAAATTACCAACGCTCACTTCTATAAATCAAATATCATCTTTTCAACAACCATTAGTATCAGAAAATATAAATAAGGCAATAATATTTAAGCCATACAAACCTAAAGAACTAAATGAATCTAGTATTAAATTGCAAAAACCCAAAATTAGTATAACAAAAAAAATTATAGCAGTTCAAAAAATAAAAATTCCAGAATTATATGTTTCTGATCCAATTTCTGTCAATCCTAATTCTCTAGTAAATGTTCAAAAAGTTTTAGAACATATTGAAATAATTGCTGGAATTGAATCTGAAAAGCACAAATGGATACCTGTTGTAAGTGATGGTGTATCATATAACCAAGCATTAAAATTAAAAAAAACTTTCTATGGCTAATTTTGCTTCCCAGTGCTCTACACAAAGAAATGAATATGCTTAAATTATTTGTTGAATTAAACTGGTATAAATCAATTATCAATTAAAGTAATTTGATGAATTTGCATATCTTACCATCATGTGATCACAATAGTTAGAAATAGATCACAGAGTTTCAGGATAGTGTGGTTTCTATAAAAATAAATTTTTTAAAAAATTTAATGTTAAAAAATATATTTCTGATAAATTAGAAATATCTCATGACTGTAATTCAAATCAACCAATTTTTATACCATCTGATTTCTCTCACTGAGAGGAATTGAATGATATAAAAATTGTTTAATTTGAATCATGAAGTTACAAGGTATTCCCAATTTGTCAAATTACCTCTATAATCTAATTTTTTTTTAAAAAAAATATATCTTATACGAATCAAGATATCTTGAAACCTCATAATCCAAATCATATAATTTTTATACCATTCGATTCTACTCATTTAATGGTATAAAAATCATGTAATTTTATCATATAATGACAAGCTATGTGCTGATAAAAATAAATTCATTAAATTACCTTATATTATTTTTACTTACATTTACTTTCTAATTATTAAGACAAATAGATATAAAAGCATTTGCCCAATATCAAAGATATTAAACAGATAATCAACTGGGATTCTTTTACAAATGTATTGATTACAATAAATCATGAGACTCAATATATAATATATATCATTATTCTATGGCATCAGAGTTAATTTGACCATATGTCGTAAGTCATAATGATCCAACTCCTACCAGTTATTTAATATATGCAAAAGATCAAACTGATGATATATATAAATTAAAATTTGAACAGGTTAGATGTTGTTTTAATTTCAATTTATAATAAGAAAATAAGAATACTAAAATATAACAAAAAAAATCTGATAATAATAGATTTTTACTTATTTTCAGGCCATTATTGATTTTCGTACTGGAGTTAGAACTAATCAACCTTTATTGCATAATGCAGCTAGATGTCAATTTGCACCAATATGGTCATCTAGACATCATCCAATTTATAGAATGCTAGAAATATCACACGAAGAAAATTTATTATATTTGAAACCTCATATTCATGAAGTATTGAAAAATTTTCAGTTGTATCTCGTTCTAGGCTTCAAAATCAATACCAAGGACTTGATGCTATTGTAGAAGAAATTAATAAAGCATTAAAATCTTTAATTCCTCCAGTACCATCACAACGTCATTAGGAGATTGCTGCAAGAAACTATACAAATTTTTTAAAGATAATTTAATATATGAATGCTGCTAACAAAAAAAAAAAAAAAAAAAAAAGAAACTTCGGACTTTCAAGTTTAACATTTATTATTTATCAGATTCAGCTCATAAAAGATCTAATTATATATTACTATCAGGACTAAATCTAATAAAAAATAGATGATAAAATTAAAAGCTCAAAGTCTCTCTTTTTTTTTTTGACCACACTTGTATTATACCTTAATTAAAATCTGCTTAATCTAAAATTTAGATATTCTAATTAGAATTAGACTATTCTACTTAAGTTAATAACTTAAAAATAAGCATATAGTATTAATACTTATATAATATATATTAATTATATATTCTTAAATATCAATCAATTAAGATCTTAAACCAGATAGTCTAATCCTAAGTTAGAACTGTTAGATTTTGAATAAGCAGATTCTAATTTGGATATAATATTTGAATTAAATTAAGTTTAACATAGTGCTTAATAACAATTTAGTTGCGCACTAACCTGTTTAATGTTATTGGATATGAGGATAATGAAAATCTGGAACAAAGAACTCGACCTGATTCTCATGTAGAACAACAATGCTTTTGTACATATTTGAGAAAAAAAGAATTTTTCACTCTTAAAAAAATTAATAACATATTAACTAATTTAGATGAAGATGTTAAATTAAGTGAGGAAATGAAATCATTCAGTATACTTGCAAAAGAAAGATGACAAAAGTTTATTCAAAATACTTTATTACAGCAAAGTAGTACTAATGTTTGGAAACCAATTCCAGTAACAGAACAAGAGGCTGATGCACTAAAAAATGAAAGCACAATGAGAAAAGAAGAACTCATTGCAATCATTAATTCAATGCTTATTTTACTTCCTAAGTCACAACGTGCAAAGTATACTAACCTAAAAAATAAAACAAAGGATATGCTTTTAACAATATTGCAAGAAATACGTGACTTAAATAGTGCCGAGGAAATTATAGACGAAGAAACTACCATTAATGAGCTTACTGATGAAAGCTTAACAAAGAACGACTAAAAAAATCATAACTATTATAAATTTTTAAGAATAAATTCATATTATTATATTGTTACCGCTACACCAATTTTGATCTGCTATTGATGATGGTCAGAAGCAATGTGAATTAAAACTAAAATGAAATCTTAAAACTTGAATCTCATATATTGAGTAATAATAATAATGGCTAAGATATTCCTTACATGCCTATTATTGAAAATAAAAAAATAAGTTAAATACATCGTGTAATAAATAACCGTAATGATAATTACTTATCTAGCTCATTAATATTTTCGGCTGTAATTTTTGTTAATCTTTGACTAGAAGATGAGACAAGAGCTTCACTAACATTTTTATTAATAATCATTCATTACTTCTTTAGATTCTTACCTGAGATTCAGATTTAAAGGCTAAACCAATTAGTAAGTTTTTTTGACTATAACAAACTACCTTCAATGTCTAGTTTAGTTATCTTTCTCACCTTTTTTTTTGAGATGTTTGCTTTTCAAACTTTATTGGTGGCTTTGCTTAATATCTGTTACTAAAGCACTACACTATTAGTATAATTCGCATTACGTTTTTTCTCTTCTACCTCAATTCTAGACCACGCTCTAATAATTAATATTTACGCTCAACAACTACATTAAAGTGGATAAAATATATTAGAAAAATAAGATTTAAAACTAAACTAAGTACTATTAAAATACATATTCTTTGGGTGTACATAACTTAGACGCAGGAGTGGATTCAACTATATCTTTTGTGGATTCTAAATCTTAAGAACTTCAAATACCAACTTCGATAATTCAGAAATTTAAAGATTAAAGAAAAAATCATGTGGCTTTGACCCGGACCTTTGCAAAAAACAGCCAATCAAATTTTATTTTATAGATCATCAACGATTTTCAAAATTCTAGAATAATTCGGTTACACTAATCAAATTTGGAAAAATCCCAGACTGTAATAATGATTGTCCACCATGCTGAATGTCGTCCTATGACCAACTACCCCAAGAGCACCACCAAAAATTTTCGGTTACACAACATTTGTACTACATTCCAGCCAATAGTATTTTACG